TTCTAGAGGCCAGGTCAGGGGTTCGAATCCCGGCGTAAGCGAGCTTTTCTTGCAAAGTGAGTTTTTCTCTCGCTTCCGCTCCTGGCCTAGTGGATAGCGCTAGTTCGTGTGCACACACAGAGGGAAGAAAGAGAGTGCTGAACTCTTCTCGCATTAAAAAAAAATCGAAGGCAAAGTACCGCAGGAGGGCAGGGTAGAGAGGGGCCCTTCTGTGTGACCACGGGTTGGAGTAAACGGCACTAGTGCTGTGAGCGCTGATTTGAAGTGAAGACAAAAAAAAAATATATATATATATATCCGGGTAGATCTGAGACGCCTTTTGGGTGCGGCAAAAAGTATAATAGTGGGCGAGGAGCTGAAAGACACTACACGAGTCGAGCGAACCTGACACCACACAGCTTGAATGCATTCCAGGAAATCCCCCCCCCAAGGACAAAGAGTATCAAACACGCCCCCCTCTCTTCCTGCCAAGGAATCGCGGCAAAAACATGCGTTGCTTCCGGAATATTACTGGTTGCGAATGAATAACAATGATCCTACTTCGATGTTCGTAACAATGATACACAGTACTCGCTCAATCTGTCCTCCTTTCAAGTGAACAGTCCCTTCCACTCACTCGAAACAATCCTTCGTTTGCACCCGGGGTATGGGTATGGGTTGTGTTAAGATGTACAGCATATCCACTATGTTGCAAGTCTGGATATGCTGTACATCTTAACAAAAGTACAACCGGGGTTCGAATCCCTCTGGGACCACTTGTGACGCTTTTTTTCCGGAAAAGTCTGGGATAGGCCTGAAGGAGTATACATTCCAGTCGTCCAAGTGAAGACACATATTCCCGCCCTGTAAGTCGATGAACCGCATGGGGGCAGCGCTGGTTACAGGGATTATTACAATACAACCCTGGGGTTTACCGAGGTCCAACAGCTCTAACAGGCTGAAGGACCCCGGTTGTACTTTTGTTAAGATGTCCAACAGCTCTGACAGGCTGAAGGACCCCGGTTGTACTTTTGTTAAGATGTACAGCATATCCACTATGCTACAAGTCACCGCTGACTTTTATCATAGTGGATATGCTGTACATCTTAACAAAATTACAAGAGGAGTCACTGATTCTGCT